CATTTATTAATAAATGGCCAGATTAATTGATTATATTTGATTAATCAATTAGTACTGTGTTCCCCAAACTACACTACAAACACTAAATTTGGCAGTACAGCTTCCTTCAAGTTAGCAATTCAGAGGGAAAAAAATTGCCTTCCTACTAAAATTAGTAACCGTGGCAGATAGCCTTAGTAGTTTTGTCATGACAAAGACAGGGCATGCAAATTTGGTGAAAAGGTGAAAAGAGAACTGAGCCCAAGGCCATCCCTCCAAGTCACCAAAGCTGAATAAACTTAAATAGAGAAAATAAAACTCATAAGGATAAAATTGGACAGAGCCCAAACAGTCCATTATGTAGTTTGTGTTTAACAACAAGAAAAATATAATAGCAATATTTCTATTACTTGAGTAGTTGAAATAATTAAAGGTAGTTATATTCAGAAACTCAAATGTTAACATTTTTCTAAACTGAACATGTATTTCCAATAGATACTTACCATCTCTCACAAATACCTTTCTCGACTTATACTGCCCAATATATGCAAAAATTTATGCTCGCCACTAGCCTTGATACTCCCACCTACCCTCATGTGTATTCGCGCGAGACATCTGCTTGTTATCATGTAAATGATCATGTAGCAACCCTCCACCAATAGAGTGCAACACAACTCCTATTATCACTAGCACTCTCGTCCATGCAGCCCGAAATCACTTCGTGATTGGCAGTCTTACTGTTAAGACATGTTTTTGCTCATGTCTTCTGACTGAAAATTTCCTTAATTGATCAAGTTTCCTGTTGATTATTAGGCTGTGCATAACTTTTTTCTCCTTATTTTTTCGACTTTTAATAGTTTGAGAACAGAGGTGAAGAATTTTTTTTTTTTTCCTAACAGTCCATGTGTCATTTTAGGGGATTTGCTCAGGCCTCTTTCCCCATTTCCCAAATTACCAATCAGGTTTGTTATATTTTATCCTTATCTTCCACTTTCCATGATTCTACTCCTGCCCTTCTCACTGATGAGCCCTTGAGTCAGTATTTAGCGTTTTTTCCCTCTCCGGATATTTAGGTTCATACAAAACCGACACTGAAAGTGGGAAGGATGAGTGGGAACTGTGACAAGAGGTAAGTACCTATCGAAATATGTTTTCAGCTTAGGAAAATGTTAACTTCTGATACAATATCTTACCTCCTCTCACAAATAGCTAGAATCCCATAATGAGTTGGCAGAGGTCTGGAGAGAAGATCATTCCCCTTTAGAAAGCACTCAAAGGAAGACAATGGGGAGTGTGAATAAACAGTAGGCAACACTTCTGAGGCAGGTATACTCTACACTAACAAGAAATTATGTTGCAACAAAGGGCGAAAACAATAGAGGGACCTCCCCAGCTTAAATATGTGTGCACTTCCAACATGACCATCACCATATCTGCCAAGAACTGACATATGGGTGACGGTAGGACTGTGGACAACAAAGCAGGAGTGCATCTACAGTCCATCATCAGGCTTCATTGGGAATGTAGCATCCAGTCCACAGTAGGAGAAGGGTACCCAGTCCCACACATGAAACACAGGGATCCCCAGCATAGAGTGGCTAGGGCACATCAGACCATACATGTGAGATTGACCTCAACCAACACCACACAAACCATGATAGGAATATCAAGCCTGCAGTAGGAAAAGGGTCCTCTATCTTTCAATTTGGATTCAGGAACAGGTAGGGAAGATGAGCCTCCATACCAAGGATCTGCTTCATCATTTGCATACATATAACAGAACCAGCACCATATCTGCCAGGAACCAACATCCAGGAGATAGTAGGAAGGTGGACAGAAAAGTAGGTGCATCTCTAGGTCATCATCAGGCAGCATTGGGAATGTATGGTACAGTCTGTGGTAGGAGGAGGAGGGTACCTGGCCATATACACGTGAGGACTTATGTGGCTGGTTCAGCTCCAACCATCACCATATCTGCCAGAAACTGACATCCAGGTGGGCAGTAGGAAGGAGGCTGCCTCAGCCAGAAGGGTGAATGGCATGTTGGAGTGTCTGGAGGAGCTCTGCACCAAAGACAGTGTAATGGGTGACAACAATACCTTATTTTGAAAAGCAGGCCAATCCTGTGACCTACAATTCACAGACCATCTCAAATGGGCAATAATCCCAGTCAAGGATGAACATCGTTATGAAGCAAAATACCATGAGTCATACCTGTAAGTGGTCTTGCGGGCCATCCTATCTCAACGATGGGTGTATATGGCACACAGGTCTTACATTACAGATTTAAAAATAAGTATAGCAGGTCAGGCAACACTCACCATTGAGTGGGATACAAACTAAGTAACAAAGGCATCTACAAAGAAAAAATGAAGAAAAAGGAGGATTTACCCACTCAAAGAAAGATCTTGGAGCACAAACTGGTAATGGAAGGAAGACAAAACCCCACAGAAGAGGAAATGGCTAGGTGGTGAAGATAATGACCAGTAAAGGTATAGGGAGTGGTCAACATAACAGAGCTAATGATGTCTTCCAACAGATGACAGAAATGCACAGCCAGGGACATGGTAAGGTGACAAATTTGATGGGTAGATACACAAAAAAGATGAAAATCATCAGAAAATGGGGAAGAATAAGCTAGGCAATTCCAACCTGTAAGCATAATGGGAGAAATGTTATGGAACTGGGAAGGATTTCAATGAATAAATAATTGAGACCAGGAATCACAGAAGAAATCAGTGCATGCTATGACAGCAGAGAGCCCTGACCTGACAGAAAAGGCAATCAGAATTGGAATGGCCATAAAGGTGTGATATGGAAGGAAGGGAGATAGGTGTGAAGGTGGAATTACCATCTCCAGTGGCAGAAAGTTTGGGCAGAAAAGAACTATTGGTAAAAGGACCACATAGGAACCATGAAACAAGGTGCAGTGGACAACGAGAGTGAACACATCTGAACCATAACATATGCACAGGAAAGGAAAGATCATATATAGAACATGTCGACAAGGGTTCAAAATGAGGAAGGGTAAGGGCATGAAGGATGACATTGAAGTTCAAATCTGGGAGAGAGACAGAGCGAGGAGGGCAGGTTATGAGGAGGGAGTAGAACAAAAGGGACAGGACCAACGATTGAAAGACACGGGTATAACATGTACAACAAAACATGACTGACAAAGACGAGTGATAGCCCATGATGGAAGAGACCAAAATACCCCTGTCAAAGAGTGAGGATAGAAAGCAAGTGTTATGGGGAAGGGTAGGGCAGGATGGAGGATAACCACAATGTATGGACAAATGGCAGTGCATTTACCATTTTCTTTGGTACACTGCCACAGAGGAAGAACATACAGAATGGGAAATCAAGAACACCACACAATACAAAAGTCTGACTCTCTGGGCCAAGGACCAGACAAAAGCCACGAGTGAAGCCTGAGTGTGGGAATGGACAGATGGTGCACACTAGACTGGGGCTGACAAAGGAGGGTAGAGGAAAGAGGGAGAGGAGGCAACACCAAGTGCCCTTGGCTTGGTGTTGTACCAGACCACTGTCAAGTTGTCAGGATGCACCATCACCAACCGACTATGAAGACATGGGAAGAGATGAACAAAGGCCCAACAAACTTCGACAAGCCCTAAAATATTGAGAGAGTCTACTGCCTAGAAACCTCCCAAGCATCCAGATAAGCACCCCCAACCTAAAAAGAAAACCATCCATAAATAGGTGACATTCAAGACAAGGCAGAGGAAAAGGAACACCAATAGTGATGTTGCCTTGATCCATCCACCAGGCAAAATCAATCTGTAAGTAAGGAGGCAGGAAGAGAGGAGCATCCAAAGGATCCGTAACGATGCTCTATTGGTCTAACAAAACCCACTGGAGGCAACATATGTGGGCACAACCAAGAGAAGTCCACATTCCTAAAAAATGAGAGAACATCTCCCACAGTGGCAGAACAATGACATGAGATGCTGTGAACTAGGAGCTCTATAGCCCTCAATCAAAAGGGAGAAGGTTGGGCTCAACTGAGTAGGGAATTAACAACACCTCAAGATGAACTAGCTATTGCACAGAGATGAGGAAAGACTTCTTCACCAACCAACCAACCAAAGCCACTTCTCTGAAGAGAAACTGAGTATGAAGGGCAGAGTTGGCCTGTGAGGAAGCTAGAAGTAGCCAGTCATCCACATAATGATGGAACCGAAGGCCCTGGAAATAAAGAAGACAGGAAAAAATTGGATGACCTGAAAAAAAATGTATGGAGCTGAGGCAAGTCTGAATGGAAGAGCATAGAACTGACACACACCACTGATGAATAAATCAAAGACAATGATGAGATGCAGGGAGATGGAAATGTGTAGATATGCAATTGACACATCGACATTCGTCATCCACAGACCAGAAATGTAAACCCAATGAAGGGCAAGATAGGACTCCATGGTGAAACATGTTAGGACCAAGAAATGATTCAGATCTATGATAGAGTGCCAGTCCTCTGACTTTTTGGGGACAACAAATAGATGGAAATAAAAGCCCAGACAAGAGGGATTTCCCCATTTGATGACACACATATAAAGCAAGTCCTGAACTGCCTCTGAAAACTCTGTCTAGACCATCTGAAACTACCTTGAGAACCCAAGGATCCATGGCAAAGTCACTCTCAAGTGTGAGAAAAGCTGAGATCCCTGGGGCCCACAGGTCCTGAACCCACAACATAGTCACCAAGACTGCTGGTAACCTTGAAGACAGTGCCCCAAGGACTGACGGCAGACCTCAGAATACCTCAGAGACCAGAACCAGCAAGGGAGAGGAAGAAGAAGAGCAAGACATAGAAATAGGTAAAGAAGGGGTTTGGGATAAATGAGAAGCCAAGAAGGAAAGGGAGGTATGCAATTGGGCTGTCTCCACCCTGGACTCCAAAGAGTCGGGAATGCCCCCAAAAACCTCCTTGCATAGAAAATGTGCCATGCACAATTCATGAAAAGAGGAGGGCAACAAACAAACCTAAGACAAAAAATATCCCTACCCAAAAGATCACAAAAACAGATCAACCATGTTTGCAAAGCCAGGGTGGAAAAGGAGAGGTGTGCAAATGTTGGGGGATTGATGAATAGCCTCAGACAACAGGTGTAGGGAGGACAAGGAATGGAGAAGGGCAGACTGTGTGAAACGAATAAGGTCAACTGAGGTTGACAAAAGGAAACTGAAGTATTGAAGTCAGATCCCCAAAAAGGGACAAGTGACTCTAAATGCTGCAAGTCTAAAAAGTGAAAATCAAAATGATGATGTGTCAGAGCACAGTCATCCAGAGTACATGAGGGTTGAGGCATACTGATAACTGAATGCAAATGTTTCCCAAAACAACTTGCATGAACCTGAATATCCAGGGAGGGAGGAAACACTAAATACTGACTCAAGGGCTCATCAGTGAGAAGGGCAGGAGTAGAATCATGGAAAGTGGGAGATAAGGATAAAATATAACAAACCTGATTAGTAATTTGAGAAATGGGCATGGAGGCCTGGGCAAATCCCCCAAAATGACACGTGGACAGTTAAGAAAAAGTTTTTTTTCTCCACCTCAACATGCTCAAACCATTAAAAGTCAAAAAAATAAGAGAAAGAAAGTTATGCACAACGTAATAATCAACAGGAAACTTGATCAATTAAGGAAATTTTCAGTCAGAAAACATGAGCAAAAACATTTCTTAACAGTAAGACTGCCAATCAAGAAGTGATTTCGGGCTGCACGACAAGAGTGCTAGTAATGATAGAAGTTGTGCTGCACTCCTATTGGTGGAGGGTTGATGCATGATAATTTACATGACAGCATGCTGAAATCTCATGTGAATACATATGAGGGGAGGTGGAAGAATCAAGGCTAGTGATGAGTGAAAACTTGTGTATACAGAAGGCACTATAAGTCAAGAAAAGCTACTTGTGAGGAGAAGGCAAGATATCATAATGGAATTCAATTAGTTGATTATCTTCACAACAATCGATTTAATTTTAATTTCTATTTTTTGTTGGAATAATTGAAAATAGTAATAATGAGAAACACTAATTTCGATTAATTATTTAATTGTGATATCAATTAGTTTATGTGACACCAACTGATATAATCGCAGCTCAGAGTTAACTGATTAATCAATTACATCACCCCTCTCTAAGTTCAATAAACATACACATTTGAACATTCTTTACTTGACTGACTTAAACACAATTATAAGGAAACCATATCAAAATATGTAACATTACATCTGATTAACCCACTACTGTCCTTTACTCTTATCCTGCTATGTATTGAAATAGTGTTAACACTTAAATAACTAAACTTTATACTTTTAAGACACTTACCACCTAAGTAACAAACAAACATATCAATTCCAAATTGTCATTAAAACAGTGATCAGCATCTTAACATGAAAGTTTACCAATTATAGAAAAAATTATCAAACTGCACCTGCATTTGCTATACGTGATTAATAATTTTCTCAACTGACCTAACTTCTTGATAACAATATATATCACGGGCAATGGAAGGAGGTTTAAAAGCCATAAATTTAACCAAAATTCAGTCAGAATACAGGCCCACACAAGTCCATACAAATACAAGTTGCTCAATTTTGCTTCATTTTTGGTTTCACTTTCAGTTTTCCTTGAGGTAAATGGAAGAGAAGAAGGCTTAGTAACCCTTTGTGGTACTCGCTCTGGTGTAGAGGGCTCCACCTGTACGTTCTGCTGAGATGCATTTTCTGATTCGCTACTCTGAAACAACAAAAATTATAAAAACTGCTGTTTCATTTTTTCTCATTGTTTTGAGAAGCACAGCAGTATTAGCCCTTAAATTTACAAACTTGTTTTTATAGCATTCACTACTATTGCACTATACTGAAAATATTTTGTTTTTTGTCTAACAGAATATTTAGTGTGAAAAAGTGATCAAAATATTATATCAAATCACTCATGTTCTGTTTAAGATAATCAGAGAATGCCTGGTATGAATTAGTGGGATTAACTGCAATATTAATTGTATTTTTATATCTTTATGCTTTTTGTGTGACTGATAACAGACTGTTACAAACAAGTCATGGACCCACAAGCAATTTGATAAATAAATAGTTAAAAAAAAACTAGTTTAAAAACCCAATGGGTCCATAAAGATCCCATTGGTAATTGTACAGTTAATACTTGCACATCATATATTTATAAACATATTGGTAAAACAATATATCATTAAAATAAATAAATATAAAAAAAATTTTAAATGCAAAATCACCAAAACTCAACTATTCTAGAATTAGATATTTTAATACAAACGTCCAACAACATACCATAACTTGTGTGGCCTCTTCAGTATGTGCACCTGTTTCAGTAAGCCACTCTGTAGCTGACTTTAAAGAACCCACAGATGATGCCTGGATATCTTTTTGTACTGTATCTATAAATAAATAATTTATGTTTGCAAAAAAATATATCTTAGTTATATGTCTGAATTTATTTAAGTATAAAGTCTTGAGGTGAAGAATCTATTTCCAAAACAGTCACAGACTGAAAAAAAAAACCTGCTTATATTTCCATAAAAACTAAAAATTAGTAATTGCATCATTAGCACTGACACTTAAGTCACAATGTCTGAATTTATTTAAGTATAAAGTCTTGAGGTGAAGAATCTATTTCCAAAACAGTCACAGACTGAAAAAAAAAACCTGCTTATATTTCCATAAAAACTAAAAATTAGTAATTGCATCATTAGCACTGACACTTAAATCACAAGATCTTAACCAAGTATGAAACGGTATCTAGACCGTACGTATATTTTTTTTTATAAAACAAAACACAATTAAACCATCAGCACTAGTGATGGGCAATACACTGTTAGTTAGAATAACAGTCATTGTCTCATAGAAAATTTTCATTTATCACTGTGAAACAAATTATGAAAATTAACATCATCTTCACAGACAGTATAAAAATGTGTGAAATAATTGTAACAAGTTTACTTTTTAGCAATAGTTAAGCAAATAACTTTGTAAACTCAACCTACACCTGTTGTGATATCTTAAGGAATGTTTAAGTCAAAACAGTTATGTTTGTTCATTAAACAGTCCAACACCATTTATTTTTTTGTTAATGAAGGAAAAAGTGAGGGAAAAAAAGATTCTGTGAAAATTAAAAATAAATAAAAGTATATTACACACACACACATATATATATATATATATAATTACATAATCAAAACATACAAGTTTCCACCTGTGAAAGAATCAATGTAATTTAGGTTATATTAAAACTACAAAGACAATAAAAGAAAAAATAAATTTTGTTTTTCATTAGTAATTTACTTAATTGCAATTCTGGAAACATAATGATCTTAGGATGTTTAAATTGTGGCAAATTCTATGTTGATGAAACAGGTAAGTTAAGAATAACGATGTATTTACATAACTTCAATCTTAGATTTCCCACCAAAAGGCCCAATATAAATCCCAATAAACATTTTAAATTAATGTATTTTGAATAAATTTTCAATTCTTGTGGTATAAAACATAAAAGTTTAATTTTCAAAAAATGTTTCATAAATGTTTTGTTACCACTTTAAATAAACAGAGGCAAAGGGGTAAAAGTAACTGCAATTGAGTAAAGTTAGTTGAAATTATGTAACAGTAAAAACTATGACTAGGAATTACAAAAAGGAAAATAAAGTAAGGGGGTCTATTTTGTATTAAATTTGTAAATATTATGGAAATAAAGTGTGTTCCTATAATAACAGGAAAAAGCATAAAGTTTTAATCAAAGAAATAGAAAACAAGAAAAAGTATATTTGACAAGCATAAACTAACTTATTTTTTAGTACATTTTAATGTATTTAGTTTATATAAGGATTGTATTTTATGTTTGCACATTTTGAAAAATATCTAATTCAGGTTACTTACATTTAGTTGAAAAGTTGTGTTTGAACATTGTTATAATAGAATATCTGTAAAATTACATCCTGAAGAGTGACCTTTAAAGTCGTGAAACCTGTAGAATTAATGCTCAATTTGTTTACATATACTGTACATATGTACCTCCAGATTCTTTCTGTTTCCAGTTTTCTTTCACTTCAGTAAAAAAGCCCACCACCAGAAGGACCAGAAGGATGAACAGTATAGGAACACGTAGAAGACCAGCAACTGTTGCAAAGTGAAATATAACAGTCATCCACACACAGACAGACATCAGAGGAAGTATACGTTGAGCATAAGGTGTCCACCATATTACAACAAGAAGTATATATCCAATCACCAATGTCCATACCTAGATTTAATAGTTGAAACAAATCACACAAAACCTATATCCATACATCTACTTGTATTCTTACCTAATGAACATTTTGTATTCATTTTAATATAATATTTCAATAACAAAATTTAGTCTTGCAGTATGTAGATTACAGCTGGGCAATTAGCTCAACTAATCGATACAACAGATTACCTACAAGCATCAATTAGTTTCATATGAAATTATCAATTAATCAAAACTAAATTAACTCAATTAATGTCAAGAAAATCAAAATTTGTGTTTCCTGTTATTACTTTTTTATTATTCCCACTACCCAAGTAATCAAAATATTATCATTTCTCATTATCATTTTTGATTAATTCAAGATTGTTCAGCATAACTTATTCATATCACAACTCATGAAAATAATCCACAACTGAAATTAATGTTCCTGATTTCTACTATTTTCTATTAATCCAACTATACAAGTCTCTTGTGAAATAATCTATTAGCTGCGTGTAAGTGATTAATGCCTTCAACAATTAATTGGTTATCAACTTCCACTAACTGCCCAGCTCTAATGTACATTATTACTTGTTTAAATAGTCATCTTCCTGCAGTAAATGTACTTTTAAGCTTAAAACATGTTTCGAATGTTTTCAATATATCATATTAAAAATATTGTTCATACAATTGGAGTCATTACCAAATAAAGAGGGATATAAAGTATAGTTACCAGTAAGCCAGCATTACTGAAGAATTCCAAGACATTTGAAGCACTCTGAAAAAACACAACTATCCCTGCCCATAGATCAAAGGAAAAGGTTTCTGGAAGTAAGCCATAGATAAAATATAGCACAGGAAGGCCAATAGCAAGCCCAATGAATACTTGAATGTAGTTCAAAAGAAAATATCCAATGCCTTCAGATATATTATCTATGACCTTAAATGGACTAGCAATTAAACCAAAGGCAAGAGGAGTTCCATCATCATGAAGACCCTTGAGCCATCCTCTGAAAAGTAAAGTCAACTTCTGCTTGAATGGGTGTAGAACAGATCCAAACAACACAGCCCACAAGAGTGGCTCTAAGAAAGGCTCAAAAACAAAATATACTGCAACAGCAGCAGTAAAGGCAAAGGCAACAAAGAGAATTGCAGCTGTGTTGTAAAAAGCCTGCTTCAAAGCTTTTTCATGTCCTTCTGGAACAAAGTTAAGTACATCTAATGGAGACTTTATGTATTGTGTGCTTGCCATACTTTCAAGGTAAAATAGTCTCAATTCAGTGAACAGGTCTCTTTTTCTCGACTACAAACTTAACAGAAACATCTGAAAAGAGAAAATAACAGATCAGCATGATTAAATAAGTATATTGAAATATAAATCACTATTTAATATATATCAAATCTGCAAAAAGCTTGAAATCTTTAGTACTACATTAAGATTCTAGAAAATGTCCTAAATACAATTTATCATTAATAGAAAAAATATATATTGATTTTTGACATTTAAAACATACATTTTTGTCTAATTATACAAGGTGAGATTCTCTTAGCAAAACATAAAAACTTTTTTTATCTTAAATCTGAAAAATATTTACTTACACAAAACCTCCTGACAAGTGTTACAAAAGAATTGGTCATTATTTTACAGTAAGATTTAATTAGTCATGGAAATTATTTTTATATATAAACTACACTTTTATTATAACTTAATGTACTTTTCAATTCTGTTAAACATGAAGCATTCCTTAAGTTTCAGGTAAGTACCTACCTAAATACATTTGTAAAATTTTTTTCAAGAGAGATCAAACCTGTCTATTACATACTTAATACTTAATTTAGTCACTTAAAAAAGAAGATAGTGTATTATGATGTGCAGTCAGGTGGTAAATACAATGATACATGAAAATGTTGGACATAGGTCAATTACAACTGTATAAAGTTCAGTCGTGAATTGCTAAAGAACTTAAATAGGGCTTAAAAATAAAATTAATGTTGCCCTCACATCTCAGATATTAATCTTTTGGAGACCCAATCTACACTTGGCATAATATTTCCAATCTACTTCCTTCTGAAGTCATAAACAGACCACTCAGTGTGGTGTATCTGGGTTCAATAATGGTGTTTTTATATGAATATCAAAATGGTGTACCATAAGGTCAATCTTTACTAAATGCCTAGAACTCATGTCCAAAACTAGTTACTTTGTCAAAACTGTTTCATTACTTCATCCTTTAACAAATAGAACTCCAAAACTATGTGTAATATACAAAATACAGGTTTAAAATTCAACAGTGATTTTCTCTTACACTCTAGATTATGCCAGGGCCAATGAAAGTAAAGAGAAGATTCATAGCATTTATGTCACTAGTAATAGTTTACTCATGATATTCAAAAAGATGCAGGATCAACGGTTTGTTTGTTTGTTTCGAATTTTGCGCAAAGCTACACGAGGGCTATCTGCGCTAACTGTCCCTAATTTAGCAGCTAGTCATCACCACCCACTGCAAACTCTTGGGCTACTCTTTTACCAATGAATAGTGGGATTGATCATCACACTGTAATGCCCCCATGGGTGAAAGGGGCGAGCATGTTTGGTGGGATGGGGATTCGAACTCGGGACCCTCAGATTGCGATTAAAGTGCCCTAACCACCTGGCCATGCCAGGTCCACAGGATCAACAGAAAAAAGTAAGATAAGAAAAAACTCAGTAGCATAAGTAGTTCAGAAATTGAACATTCCTTCATCATATGTATATGATCCAATGCCCCCCCACCCCTGGCAACACCCATTGCAAGTTGTGACACCCAACTACTGTCATCTGCCCCTAATTCATGCACCAAAGAACTGCAGTTAATAAAGCCATTCTGCTACACTACAGGGTTGACAAATATCCAAATAAGAATACTTTTTAAGTAATATTTGAACCAACATTTGAATATTCATCTTTTTTTTAAGATATTATATTTTCAAGGATTTGCTCATGCTGTAAACATCCCAGACATCACCAGAGCCATAATTGGAGTGAGGTAAGTAGAACAGCCACCCAAGGCACAAATCGGAAGAAGCAGAAAATTGAACAAAATGGCTTGCCATTCACAAGGGTGCCTCAGATATGATGACCTGCCCTGGGTGCTAAATTTCTCAGTTACAGGTCTGGGCCTTCAATTCACAAAGGCAAAGCATAAGGAAATTTCACCAGGCAATATACTAAAGTTATAGCTAATGCATTTAAAAATAAAAATAAATAAACAGTTACTTAACACACTAAGGCAATAAATGAGAAAAATCTTAAATGGGAAAAAAAAATGTAGTGTCATTCAATAACACCAAGAGATTCCTTAAACATAAGCCATCCAGCAAGCTGTTCATATAAACTTAAGTATAAATACAGATACACACTAGATAGTCTATGTAAAATACCAGTACATGGTGAAAGACAATCTGTGAGATGAAAGACCACAAGTTGTTCAAAGTGTAGAAAATCTATATGAAATAAAGTGTGGCTGCAAATGTTGGTTATGCATCATATGCTGTACAAGAGACCACTGATACCAATTCAAGAACATTTTTCAGGTTAACTAAAAGTGTTGTCAGAACATGACAACTGATCACTTGTATGGAATGATAAAAAGGAGTGGAAATGTTTTCTATAAACTCCCAGTAACTTTGCTGTATAAAATGAGGCCAAACGTGAACAGGCAGCATCTTTCATCATTAGGTGCTCTTGTATGTAATTAAGGGTGGGAGACACACACAAACCTTATACAACTCTAACAACGTTTGGCATCATTCTGTTTGATATAAGGCACATCAGCACTAGAATAATGACATTTTGTTGTGAATTTCATAAAGTGATAAGAGCAAATAATTTTGAAATGCTCATTGAGCATGGGTATGGAGATAGGCAGTTGAACAAATTGACTGTATCAACTATGATAGGATGTTAGGAGCTAAGGCAGAGTTTATTTGCCACAAGAAGTGCCACAAGATTATTAAAACTGAGATTAGGTACTTAATATGATGATGATGGCAATGTTCTTACATGTTCTCTTCTGTTTTTATAAGAAAGGATGTTAGCAACAATTCTGTCCCCAAGTTTTATATGGGAAATACTGGAATTGACCTGAATCACGTTGATGCTACTACTTGTCCACTGATGATAGATAAAAACATTGAGATTAAAAACAGAGGAAACATCAGGATCAGATAATGTTTATCTCAGGATTTTAAAGGAGGTTAAAGTTCAGATGAGAAGCCTTTCTCATTTTTGGAGATCAACAGTCAGCGGTCAGGTTCCTAAGGATTATGAAGTTACCAAGTTTACTCCTATTTTTGTGGGGAAAATTCTAGTCTAAAAAAACAAGACTTGCAAAATAATGAATTTAAATATGATATCATAAAATAGAGCCAACATGGATTAACTGACAAGAAATTTTGCTTTATTAATGCATTAAAGTTTTCTAACAATTTTATTTGTTATCTGGATGATGAAATGGTGTAAACTTATGCATTAAGAAGATTTTTCATGAAGTGGGGGATGGGAAAATATGAGTTGCTTCAATTGTAGTGTAGTCAGGCAAAAGAAAGCAAGAGATTTTTATTAACAGAGTCCAGTCGAATTGGATTTTTGTTTCCAGAGCCTCTATTTTTTCTTATTTATATTAATGACATTGATATGGGCATAATTAGTATTTTGGCAACATTTGCTGATAATATTAAACTATCTGATATTCTAGCTGTATTGAGGATGTTGAGGTATTACAAAATGACTTGAAACAATTAATTAGTTGATCAAGTACTTGGCAAATAACTAAAGTAAATGCAAAGTAATGTATTTAGATTGTTTTGGATGACATGTTTAATACTGACAGGAACCCTCTCAATAATGTAACTACAGATAAAGAACTTGACACAATGGTAAACAAGTCAATAAGGCCAAAAAAGGCAGTGTGCTTAAGACTGTAGTAATGCTAATGTAATATGAATGTATTTATACAGTTATTGAGTACAAGTCAAAATGGCCTCACCTGGAGAATTGTATAAAATTTGGTTTTCTTAGCTAAGAAGGGACACTAAGTTTTTGGAAAAGGTTCAGAAGAGGGACACTAGGCTGATTCTGGAGATGGAAGTATTGTTTGTTTGTTTTGAATTTTGCACAAAGCTACACGAGGGCTATCTGTGTTAGCCATCCCTAATTTAGCAGTGTGAGACTAGAGGGAAGGCAGCTAGTCATCACCACCCACCGCCAGCTTTTGGGCTACTATTTTACCAATGAATAGTGGGATTAACTGTCACATTATAATGCCCCCACGGCTGAAAAGACCAGCATGTTTGACGTGGTGGGGCTTCAAACCCGCGACCCGCAGATTGCGAGTCAAGTGCCCTAACCACCTGGCCATGCCAGGCCAAGATGGAAGTATTGCCTTATAGGAATAGGTTAAGATATATTATTTTCTTTTGAATAAAAGAATGGTACAAGGTGATTGTATTGAAGATTACAAAATTATCCGGAGTATCAAAAAGATAAATGTCACTGATTTTTTTTTTGTGATGTATTCTAAAGGCATCTGATTAGAGGGAACAAGTTAAAATTTTGTAAAAGACAGTTTTATTTAACTAATAGGGTGATTAGCTTGAGGAATGAGTTGTCATTGGCAGTAATGGGACAAGCATTTTACATAAGTTTAAGTTCCTAAAACATAAAGAGTGGATTTAAAAGGCAGCCTTAAAGGACTAAATAGTTTTTTGTTGTCTATAGGCTATATTCTATATTGTATGTGTCAATACTTTAATATTATGATATAACATGGCACTGCACTCTAATATCTACTGAAAGTTTTAAGAATCTCCAAAAGATACTCTCTCATTACTTAAACCTATTCAATAACTAAAAATAAATCTTAGTAAGTAAATAAAAATTCACACACTTAAAATTCCAACAGAAAGGAGACAGTGCCACAGTATGTGCAGATGCTGATCTACACTACATAGGCAAAACACCAAAATTGTGAAAACAAGAGCTGTTGTATTAAAATTTAGCTTGGCTTATAAATAATGTGGTTACAAATATTGTAACAGATAAAAGGGAGAAAAATTGTGTTATAAAACTTATAATCTATACTACATATTACTACATTAAACTACTTGTAATAACATTATATTAATACTAACAGTAAGGTAACAGTAACACTGTCTAAGTGAGAGTAACAGTAACACAATGATGCACAAAATGTAAGCAAAACAAGTCAGAGCCCAAACGGTATGCAGAGTTTATTTCATATAGTTTAGGTTAACCTGATATTGGAGACTGTCTAACCTGCTATATAAATTATAAGTTACCTACAAATCTACTTAATGCCAAATGGGGTGTGACTTCTTCAGTCACTATACTACATACCGTATTTTTCGGAATATAAGATGCAACCTTTTTTTGAAAACAAAGTTTTGGGGAGGGGAAAAAGCTACAGTCGCATTTGAAAGATTTTTATTGAACAAACATTCAATTTGATACTTTAAAAATTAGTATATATTGTTCTAAACACAAGAGCTCAAAACATCAAAATAAGAAAATACCGTAAATCAAAAACAATTTACTGTTATTTAGTTTGGTTCAAAAAATACAAAATCTTCATTGCTTTCACTGTATTTTTTTTTATTATTTAGGGAGCTTTATAAATAGTTACATTTTTAACAGAAAAAAAAACTACTATTGTTATAAATAACACA